ATATATATATACGTCTACTTATATACATATATATATACCGAATACACCATGATCTGGAAAAGAAGCATATACACGAATTCGGATCGTGTATAAAATAGACCGAATACCATGGCAATCCTATCACATTGACGGGTGGTGCTTGATGTTAGAACCCGCGAACGTTCTCCCCGGACTCATAGTCTTTTTTAACTGTAACATATGCGTACAACATCCTCGCTTACTATGTCCTTCGACACGCCCTTCCAGTATCTCCCTGTAAACCCCATTTAGTATGATATGACCTGTGGTGTCTCTGCAGAGCATGACTTCCTATCGTTTCTTCACTGTCTGATCCCACTATCCATGGTGCTCCTTTGAATACTCTCGCATACAAATGTGACCAAAGACGGTTCGTAACGTAAGCGTAAGATGTGTGCGTTGGTCCCGGATAGAACCCTAAAACTTCCTGACCCAATGTATGTAAAAGGTGTATATTGTTTTAATAATTAAGCAGGTATATTCACTTAGCTATATATCAGATACGTAAAATGTAGTATGTCATGCAAATTAAAGGTACGGGGTTGTACGGTTCCTTCAATACCTTGATTGTAACTAGAACACCACTATATGACATATCCTCGTCAGTATATCCTCTTCTATGCACTATTCTACCTGCACAACTCTATATAATGTACCCTTCTCTATGCACTATTTTACCTACACAACTCTATATAATAAATCCTCTATGTACTATTCTACCTACACAACTCTATATAATATATCTTCCACTATGTACTATTCTGCCTACACAACTCTATATAATACACCCTTCTGCATGCACTATTTTACCTACACAACTCTATATAATAAATCCTCCTCTATTTACTATTATACCTACACAACTCTATATAAATTCTCTTCCCTATGTACTATGCTACCTACATAACTCTATATAATATTCTATGCACTATTCTACCTACACAACTCTATATAATATATCCTCCTCTATGTACTATTCTGCCTACATAACTCTATATAACATACCCTTCTCTGTGCACTATTCTACCTACACAACTCTATATAATATACCCGTTTCTATGCACTGTTCTACTTACACAACTCTATATACAATTCACTTCTCTATGTACTATTCTACCTACATATCTATATAATATTCTATGTACTATTCTACCTACACAACTCTATATAATATATCCTCCTTTATGTACTATTCTACCTACACAACTATATAATATACCCTTCTCTATGCACTATTCTACCTACACAACTCTATATAGAATTCACTTCTCTATGTACTTTCTACCTACATAACTCTATATAATATTCTGTGTACTATTCTACCTACACAACTCTATATAATATATCCTCCTCTATATACTATTCTACCTACACAACTCTATATAATATACACTCATCTATGCACTATTCTACCTACATAACTCTATATAATATACCCTTCGCTATGTACTATTCTACCTACACAACTCTATATAATCTACCCTTATCTGTGCACTATTCTACTTACACATCTCTATATAATATACACTTCTCTATGCACTATTCTATCTACACAGCACGTGGTTATGGGTGGGTCGTGCAATCGGATGCGAAAATTTGCGGCCCAAATCCAAGAGAGTGCTGGTATTAAGATACCTACCGGAACGGCCCTGTGCGATCTGTCTACAACGGACCGGTACAGCATGTACAAAGTGGGCAATGTATTGTCTATCAGCGTATGTGTGGCTTGGTTTTGGTAGTGTATGTGGGTTGGTACGAGTATCAGGAGATTGTGCTATGCTAGTGAATACTATGCGTATGTGTGGCTTGATCTTGGTAGTATATGTGGGTTGGTACAAGTATCAGGAGATTGTGCTATGCTAGTGAATACTATTTATTTTGCAGGGGGAAGCTGTTCATAGGTGGCTGTTCCGATGTGTAGAAAGTCGGCAATTTGCGGTGTACTGACGTATGCTGACATGTATATGTATATGTATATGTATATGTTATATATATATA